GACCCTCCAAAGACATTCTCAGAGGGGATGAATGAATGAATGAAGGAGCTTGTCACTGAACTACAGCTGTCACTGCATTCCAAATGTGCAATGGTGCCCATCGGCACATACACTGGCCGCCTGTGTGACTTCTGTGTGTCCCCTAACCTCTTCATACTGAGTGAGGTTACAACTCTCCTTCTCAGTGGGGTGCAGTGGCGCATGCCAGTAATCCCAGTGGCTCAGGAAGCTGAAGCAGGAGGATCGTGAGTTCAAAACCTGCCTCAGCAACTTAGCGAGGCCTAAGAAATTTAGCAAGAGCCTATCTTTTTTTTTTAAAGACATATTTTTTAAAAAATATTTTTTAGAATATTTTTTAATTGTAGTTGAACACAATACCTTTAATTCATTAATTTATTTTATGTGGTGCTGAGGATCAAGCCCAGTGCCTCACACGTGCCAGGTGAGTGCTCTACCGCTGAGCCAAATCTTCATCTTGTCGGATTAGGTCCTGATTTCCTTAATAAGACTCCTATATAGACAGAAATAAAATCAAGAACCACTAAATGAGATGGATTCAAACAAAAAAGCTTCTCAGCAAAAGAAACAATCAGTGAGGTGAAAAGAGCCTACAGAATGGGAGCAAATTTTTACCACATGCACATCAGATACAGCACTAATCTCCAGGAGATAAAGAACTCAAAAAACTTAACACCAAAAAATCAAATAACCCAATCAATAAATGGGCCAAGAAACTGAACAGACACTTCTCAGAAGATGATACACAATTAATCAACAAATATAGGAAAAAAGGTTCAACATCTCTAGCAATTAGAGAAATGCAAATCAAAACTAAGATTTCATCTCACTCAACTCAGAATGGCAGCTATTAAGACTACAAACAACAAAAAGTGTTGGTGAGGATGTGGGGGAAAATGGCAGACTCTTACATTGCTGGTAGGACTGCAAATTGGTGCAACCAATCTGGAAAGCAGTATGGAGAATCTTTGGAAAACTTGGAATGGAATCACCATTTGACCCAGATATCCCACTCCTCAGTTTATATCCACAGGACTTAAAAACAGCATATACAGAGTCACAGCCACATCAATGTTTATAGCAGCTCAATTCACAATAGCTAAATTGTGGAACCAACCTAGATGCCTTTCAATAGATGAATGGATAAAGAAAATGTGGTATATACATACACAATGGAATATTATTCAGCATTAAAAGAGAATAAAATCATGGCATTTGCAGGTAAATGGATGGAGCTGGAGAACATCATGCTAAGTGAAGTAAGCCAATCCCCCCCCAAACCAAAGGCCGAATGTGATGATTCATAATGCGGATGGGTGGGGGAGCATGGGAAGAATGGAGGAACTTTCAATAGGGCAAAGGGGAGGGAGGGGAAGGGAGGGAGTGGGGGGGGGTAGGAAATATGGTGGAATGAGATGGACATCATTACCCTAAAGACATGTATGAAGACACAAATGGAGTGACTCTACTTTGTGTACAACCAGAGACATGAAATATTGTGCTCTATATGTGTACTAGGAATTGAAATGCATTCTGCTGTCATGTCTAACAAATCCGAATAAATAAATAAATTTTAAAAAGATCCTGTCTTAAAAATAAAAAGGAGTAGGTATGTGGCTCAGTGGTTAAGCTGAGTTCAATCCCTGGTACAAAAACAAAACCAAATTAACAACAAAAAATAGATTTCCTCCTCTCCAGCATAATCCCCGCACACCACCAGGAGTTGGGTACCGTAGAACAAAATGCTGACCTTGATGGAGGGCTTCCTGCCCTCTGGAAGTTTCCAGGCAGGGGTGTGTGTATGAGGAGGACTAGGAAACTGCCACAGTATGAGACGCCTGCTGCTGGTGGGATGGTGGGGGGACAGGGAAGGGGACGGGTCACTCCAGGAGCTTGGGGGTCACAGCCTGCAGGGTCTCCACCACATGAAGCCAGAAACAGGCTCCAGGCAGAAGGGCCGGTGAAGTTCCAGGATCCATGCAGAACAGGACAGTGAGCCAGGCTGTGTGGCCAGAGCCCTGTGGCCACGCTGGGCAGGACTCTGTGAGCAGAGCCGACGTTTGCACTTCACCCCAGCACAGCAGGCCACGTTGTCAGGCTCAGCAGCACACAGAGAAGCTGGCAATGGCCGCTGCTGCGACATCCTTGGGCACCCTCAGGCTGCCTGTTGCTGCGCGAGGCACGATGGCTCTTTTACATGGAGACTGAGCGGTACACCGGGGTGGGGGTGGGGGGCCCTAAGGAGAACTGAAGTGTGCAGCGGTAGGAAGAAACGGAGGAAGATTTTCCTGCCCCAGGAGGCGGGGCTTTGGATTCCCGGTGGGGGAGGGGTGCTGCGCATCCACGCTGTGGGCGGGGCCAGCGGACCTGGGCCAGGGCCCCAGAGGACCCTGCGCTCCTGTCGGCAGCAGCACAAAGCCTGGACTGGGTGTCAGCAGCACCAGCTTAGAAGGAAGGAGGCTAGGAAGTTGGCCCCTATAGGAAGGTGGTGGCATTGCCTTGGTCACCTGTGGACACCTCACCGTGGTCCAGGACCCAGGAGGAAAGGGGACCTGGTGCGAGAGGTGACAGCTTCCATACACTCTGCAGCTCTCAGGATGCTGTCCCCTGGAGCTTGTCTCACTTTTCCCACCATGACCTGCGCCCCAGTGGGCTGTCAGTCCCCGAGGGCAGAGCTGTGCCCTGCTTGTCCCCGGGGTGTTAGGTACATGTAGGGTACTCCACAAGGGGCTTCAACCTTCCAACTTTCCTTTCCTTCTCCTCTCCCCTCCCTCCCTCTTACACATCACTTAACCCTTCAGATAGCTCAAAATTAGGTTAAAATCGGGGGAGCTTATTTTGAAATCAACAGGGAGAGATGTAGCAGGACCAAGTTTGCACTGGAGCTTATGAGAGGGAACAGAGCTCAGAAAGCCTCAGCTACTTGCCCAAGACCAAGCGTGGAGCTGAGATTTCACTCAGTGATGCCTGACTCCAGAGAGCATCCTATTCCTCCAGACAGGAAGGAAAACCAGGAAGGAAACTAGGAAGACTCAGTCCCAGAGGTGGATAAAACAACAAGTATTTCTGCACCTCTGTGGTGCTGAGAAAATGCCTTTTCCCCATGGGTCTCTGGCCATGGGGGAGCTGAGCTGAGCTGTGACTGAAGAGCAGGTGGCCAGGCAGGCGCCAATCCACCTGGTCAGCAAGGGGGAGGCAAGAGAGCCTGGAACCCATGGACACCACTGGAAGTGATGATTTTAAGATGGATCACACTGGTTGAAGTCTGTCTGGTCTCTGTCTTCAGTAAATTAGTACCTATTTCAGAAAAGATGACTAATAAAAATAACGACCTTCAGGCACCTCCTAGCTTCTAAACATCGAATCAGAAGAAAAATTTTGTTTGCTGGGAAAACTGGTTATCTACATGTAGAAGAACGAAACTAGATCCGTCTCTCACCTGTACAATAGTCAACTCAGAATGGATCATGGACCTAGGAAGTAGACCAGAAACTTGGCAAATGCTAGAAGAAAACAGGGGAAATACTTTAACATAGAGGCTACAGCTATGACATCTTGAGTGGACTCAGGTAGTTCAGAAAGTAATAAGAAGAATCCGTAAATGGGATAGCATCACATTGAACAGCTTCTGCACAGCAAAAGAAACCACAGCATGAAGAGATATTCTAACAGAATGGGAGAAGATTCTTGCCAGCGACTTCTCAGACAGAGGGTTACTATCCTGTATACATAAAGAACACAAACAAATTCAACACCCAAACAACAGCCCAGTCAAGTAATGGCGGATGAACAGACCCTTCTCAGAAGAAGAAAATTCAGATGGTCAACAATTTTATGAAAATACTCAGCATCTTTGGCCATCAGGGAAATTAAAATAACAACTACACTGAGATTCCATCAGAACAGCAGTCATCAAGAATACAAACAATAATAAATGCTGGTGACGATGTGGGGAAAGGGGTTAGACACTGTAGGAACGTAAATTGGTAGAGCCACTATAGAAATCAATATGGAGGTGCCTCAAAAAAACTAAAAATAGAACTACCACATGATCCACCTTTACCACTACTAGGTATTTATCCAGAAGAATTAAAGTCAGCATAATATATATAATATATCCTCATGATTATAGTACCACAATTCACAATAGCCAAGTTATAGAACCAGTCTAGGTATCAACAGATGAATGGATAAAGAAAATGTCACACACACACACACACACACACACGTACACTGGAGTATTATTCAGCCATAAAGAAGAATGAAGTTGAGTCATTTGAAGGAAAATGGATGGAACTGGAGAGCATTAAGTTAAGCAAAATAAGTCAGACATAGAACAACAAATATCATATTTTTCTCTTAAATTGGAAGCTAGAAAGGAAAAAAATGACATCATGAAGGTAAAAAGAAGGTAGAGGAAGGGGATCAAGGGAGGGAGGGGGAGGGTAAGGGAAGCTATCAGGGAGTGAAATTGATCAAATTCTGTTATATGCCTGTATGATCATTCCCCAAGGAAACCCGCTATTCTGTATAATTAACATGCATCAATAAAAAAGGAAAGATTTATTTATACGAGTCATGATGTTTATCCTGAGGGTGTTTCCTGCACAGGCATCCTTCCTAGGTCATTTCGTCCCGGCTCACACAATGTGGCAAATATCTTAGGGAGTTATCACTTGGTCCTGGCCCTTGGGCTAGGGCCTAGAGATGAAGTCCCTGCCGTCGATGGCCACGTTGGAGTGGGGAGATGCCTGTGTGGCCCATGAAGCTGCTGTGTGGTCAGAGCCTGCAGTAAGTCCCCTCCAGGTACCAAGGGGGCCTCGGGAGGAAAGGCATGACTAAGTCTTGCTGGTCCTTCTTCCTGTGTGGGGCTGGTGGTGGCCACAGCAAGGGGGAGGAGGGGAAATGAGCTGTTGGAGGGGCAGCCCCAAGAGGAGGGGGAGGGCAAAGAATTTCCTGGGTGACCACACTGTTCCCTCTCCATTTGTCAAGTCTAAGGGACCCATAGTTACATTTGGCCAATCAACTCCCCTCTTCCCAGAGATGCCGGGGTAATGGAATAAAACTCCATCCATCTCCAGGGACCAAGGGAACAAACAGGAGAGGGACAACAGTGATCTCAACTACTTCTACTATTTTGGGGGTGACAGAAAACCCCCCAAATGGCTTCTGGTTCAGCAGAAGTAATGAGCTGAACATATTCTCAGGGACAGGTGCACTTGGAGGTCAGATGGCCAGGGCTCAAGTCCTACCACCCTGTCTCTGCAACCCATTCTCAATAGGAGCAAGTGACTTTCCTTTCTGAGAGTCATTTTGATCCAGGATACTATGAAGAACTCATGGCAGATGCACAATTCTTTCCTTCTGGTGCCGAGAGAATCACTTGGAGTTTTCTTTCTCTAGCATGAACAGGCACATGCATTTTTCATTCTGATTGTGACATGGGGCCAAGACTTTCACACCTTGGCAAAAGCTCTCAGAAAAATATAAGAGCCACCATTGCGGATGGTCTTGAAGGACACTTTCAACCCAGCCATGCCAGAGCATCAAGGAGGGCTGCAGGAATATAAGACCTTCCTGTAGTGACCCAGGCACAGGGACATTCAAAGCAGGAGGAGATCCTGTTGGTGTGGGAAAGCACAAGCAACTTGGTGGAGACAGTGGTATTGGAAACGGACGGGGTGTTCCCAGAGGGAGAGAGAGAGGTCACAACAGGATGAAAGAATCCACTGAGACCTAACAAAAAGCACCATAAGTGTCCAGTGGGTTGCTTGCACATCACCCAATGGACGGTGGGGAGCCACTGCAGGGGTCTGAGCTGGCAAGTTCACGATCAAATAGACCTGTCCAGCCACCCCTCTACAACTCTATCATGCACCTGGGCCTCATGTTCCACACGTACGTTTGACTCAGCTACCTTTTCCTGAGCACCTGTGGATGGGATCATGAGGAACACACAGGTGCACGGGGCTATGTGCTGTGTCTTCCAAGCAATGGATTTAATGTCTGAACTGGCCCCTCGGAAGTCACATCTCTCTTTAGCCATTCCCCGTTACACCCCCACAGTCCAGCTTTGCCTCTGGACTTGGAATGAAGTGTGCTCCCATGTTCCTTGAGGTCCTTGCAGAAACCCCTTCCCCTCCCTAGCACGGCCCTCCCCACACCAGCCTGCAGGAGACCTTGCCTAAAGATCACTCTCGGACACTACAGGGTGAGGTGGCTTCTCGCCCTCCTCAGGGCTCAGGTCATGTCCTCTCTGTTGCAGTCCTTACACTGCATGGCTTTATCTTGTTTGTCTATGCGTTGAGGCACAATAGCTCAGCTCAGGCCCTGCATCTCCTTGGGAGCTGTCTTCCCTGGGGCTAAGGAAAGACCCAGAACAGGGTAAGCAGAGTAAGTGCTGAGGACTAAGAAAATAGAAATACCAAATACCGGGGGCCAGGCACTGGCCACAGAGACTCTTCTTTCGTTCTTAGGTCCCTCTGTGTGATATGCATTCTTATTGCCATCTTGGATGGCTCTGTGACTTGGGCAAGGGCAGGCCACTGTGAGTTTGCAGAACGGGGATTCCAAGGCAAGCCTGTGTTTCTGCACAGGCCCAGAACGCTTCTGCTCCATCCTGCTCCACGGGTCATGCGTGGCAACCGGCTGGGATGGAACTGTGTGGGCTAGAGAAGCCACACACAGGCCACTTCCTCTCGCTCACCTTTCTTGACTTCCCACTCAGCCAGGAGAGCTTCTTCGAGATCTTTATCTTGGCTCCTGCACTTGGGGAAGTTCCTGAGGCCAACCAGCACCCAAACATACCTCGAATGTCATCTAGGAGAGATGAGGAAAGGATTTTTCCATGTGGTCACTGGGTGTGAGTAACTGTCCCTGTCCCTGTGACTCCCACCTCTTCCCCTTGTCCTGGGAAACCCCACCCCAGGTCTTCAGATAAAAGCTCTAGGCACCGAGGATGAGACCAGAGAGAGTTACCTTGGCTTCACCCAACACACCGAGGCTGCTCCAAAGAGGCGGGAGCCAAACATCCGAGATGAAACTGACCTCTGTGGCCCTGGTGTGCCTGCTGCTGGCTGCAACATGGCCACAAGACGTGGACAGCAAGAGCAGTAAGTGTGGTCCGAGTCCCTTGGCTTACCCCCGGGGAGGGCAGGCAGGCAGGCGGGTGCTCTGGGGGTTTGGGCAGGACTCACCTTGAACTCACCCACTCTGTCTGCCTTCCTCCTACCTGAAGAGGAGGAATGGGGGATTCCAGTGGGCTGGGGGCAGAGCTGGCCAGTAGGACCATGAACCAGGAGCAAACATGGAGAGCTTTGAAGTTGCCAGCTTCAGCCTGAGGAGGCTCTGTCTGGTCCAGACCCTGCAGGCAGTTGGAGGAATTGCAAAATTTTTAAGTCAAGCTGGGAGCCCTGAGGACCAGAGGAGGAGCCGGGCCTTGCCTCGGGTCTTGCCTCCACAGTGTGTTAGATCATGGGCAGAATCTGCAAGCAGGACCAAGGTTCGAGCCGTTTAATAGTAGGCTAACGTTGAGCAAGTCTTGGGCCCTTTAATTCTCAGATGGATTTCTCTCTTGGTAAAAATGGAGTTTGGTAATGCAGACCCTCCAGGGTTGGAGGAATATCCATCTAGTAATAGACATGAAAGTTTTTTTTTTTTTTTTTTTAACTAGGAGGAAGGAGCCAATATTGGAATGCAAAGTTTTGGGGGCTGGGGAGTGGGTAGATGAAAGAGGAATGTAGAAACCAGTCGAGTAGGGGTGGAGCCTGGAGCCAGCTAAGCATCAGGGGAGCAGGGGAGCTGGCTACTTCTTGGGAGCTCTTCCCTTCTCTTTTTGAGCTCATCTGGCCCCGGGTCTGTGTACTCGGAACCACAGTGTCCTGTGTGCATTGGGCTGACTGATCCCCCAGGTTATGAGGTCTAGAACCCTGGGGACAGAACCATACACTTGGGCTGGAATGTCAAAATAAATGAACCATTAGAAACCAAGGCCTAAAGTCTTTTTTTAATGGAGGAAAGTCTGAGCCAGGCCTGGGTTCCTTCTCACAGCTGCCAGCTAGTTTGCAGGGAGCTCCGATCTGAACCCATCTTCTGACTCTTCACCTAACTCCACACCTGGGTGGCTGCTGAGACCAGGCTGTGCTGGAGCCCTCTGGGTGGTCCCCAAGCCTGGGGCTGTCCTGGGAGGGGCTTTGTGGGTGAGAGGCTGAGAGAGAGGGATGCAAGGTGTCTTCTGTGCTTGTCTCCTAGTGCACGTGTCTTCCTCCCGATGCTGCTTCTCATTTGCGCAGAAAAGGATTTCCCAGAAGACGATCCAGTGTTACAGAGAAACCAGCTCCACCTGCGCTTACCAGGCTGCAATGTGAGTGATCACCTGCCGGGTCCTTCCCCTCCAGAGGGAATGTGGTCGGCAGGAATGACAAGAGCAGACACGAGATGGCGCTGTTCCACAGAATAAGCTTTGTAAATCCGGAGAGCGAGGCCCCCCCCAAAACTCGCATGCAGAGCCGCACTTGGGCGCTAGGGGGCGCGCGGAGCTGCGCAGCAGGTGCCAGGAACTCCTGCAGCGACTTGTTTCTGGCAAGTCCAAGGTGCCAATGACTATATCCCAGTATTGTATGCCCGGAGGAAGGGATTGCTTAACACAAGCACCGGGATTATCATGTAGTGGAAAGAACAAGGTTGTGATGATTATTCGTGCCTCTGCATTTGCTAACCTGTAGTTTGGGGACAGGGAGCTCCTCTGTACCACGTTATCAGGTGGCCTCTATATTGCTTTTGGGTGAAGGGGTTTCAGCATGATGGTTGCATCACACTTGACTGGGGTAACAGACACTGCTCAGCTTTCTAAGGCAGTTTCACGCATGTCATCTCTGCTAAACCCCAGAAGCACACATTTCTGTTATCAGGACGACTTAAGTTCCTGGAGGAAGAGATAGTTGTCTAAGTTCTCCCAGAGAGTAGAGGCAGAGCTGGGCTCTGGACTGGGCAATAGTCAAATTGGGAAGTGGGCAGATCAGAAAAGAACACACACACGAGTCCAGAGAATGAGTGAGGTCCTAGCCGGACAGGAGACACTAAAAGTTGAAGCAGAGAGATATTCAAGGATGCCAATTTTTTTTTTTCATCTAAGCTAATCCTCAGCGTGTCTCCAAAGTCTTCTGTTCCACTCATAATCTCTAGGAGAAGGGTCCAGGAAACTCGATCAATGAGCTCCTGATGCTCTGGATGCCCCCCCCCCCTCCTCCCATGAGCAAGCCACAGATCACAGTGACTTCATATATAAAGGGAAAGAGCAAGGCCCAGAGAGAATACTCAGGGTCACCTGGGTGCGTGGACGTGGAGAGGGGACTTGGGCACGGTACCCAGTGGGTGACTCTGGCGACTCAGCCCACTCCTGTGTTCTTTGTTCACAGTTTCAAGCTGAAGGGAGGCAGAGAGAGCTGTGCCTTGAAGACAGAGAGATGGGTTCAGGGTTACTTGGGAAAACTGAAACCCTGCCTGCTGGTGTGAAGATGAGCGGTTCTTGTCCATCCTGGCCTCTGGAGATCCCTGGGTTTCACTCGTCCCCCCAACTTCCAACTCAGAGGATGTGCTCAGTCTTGATAAGCTATGTGGTTGCACTTTATCTATTTAAATTCTAGAAACTTCAAACTCCTGCTCTCCTGTGTTTCTTGGGGTTCACAAGGATTTCAGGGGGCACACTCGAGTCACACTGGGGGATGGAGGACAGAGGCTGGAGGGCTGGGGAGGAGGAGGGAGACCCCAGGGACCTGGCGCCAGGGGAAGTGACAGTTGCCAACAGGAACCAGCAAATGACTCAGTGCCTCCCAGCATGGCCTTTGCCTGGGGTGAGTTTTGACCCAGGCCTGCAGCTTCTCTGCCTCTAGGACTGGCAGCTGAAGTGGAGGCAGAGTAGGGCAGCAAGGAGGGCCAGGCTGGGCCACACTGGGCTGCAGGACCCTCTCCCTCCCTTGCCCTGTCCAGAGAGTTTAGGTGGTGATGATATCTAATGACCTAAATAGGGGGCGTCTTATGAGACTGTCTTCCAGAAAAAGGGTGCCACCCCATTTTATAAATGAGACAACTAAGGGCCAGAGAGGGACGCCCAGAAGTTCAGGGCTAGATCTGGCATTAGAGTTCAGAGATCCTGGGCCTGAGCTCTGTCTATCTACCTGGTGTCCCAAGTCGGCAGTGTGCACAGGGACCTGTCTCCGCTGCTCCAGGGATAGGCCCTGCACACCTGTTCACAGGACCCTCCCGTCGCTAGGAAAGTCCTGGTGGAGGTATGACTTGGGGGCTAGATCTGATAGACATGCCATTGTAGCTCATCTGGAGGAGTGAGACAGTCTTGGGAAGAGCAGAGGAACCTGGATGGTCATGTAGGAAGAGGAGGCCCCGTCCCTTTAAGAGGGACAGTCATAAGTTCCAATTTGTGTAAAGTGTGATTTGAGAACAGTGAAGGTGGGGAGTGAATTCTGGGTCTCAGGATTGGCATCCCTTTTCTGGCCAGCGTGATGGCTTCGGGGAGAAGATCTAATGCCCTGAGTCTCAGGCCTTCTCCCTCTTTCTCCAGCACGCGACATGTCACCCGTCTGGCGGGATCTTAATCCCCCTGCTCCTCCATCCATGAGGCCCTGCTTTGGGCCCTGCTTCTTCCTGCCTGGCCTGAGGCAGTAGATCGCTCTCCGCCTTCCCCTCCCAATTCTATCCCACCCACAGCCCCTGGTGTCTACCCTCTCCTCTCCTGTCCCTCTTGGTGGCCCCAAACTTTCCTGTCTTCCTCTTGTCCTCGGAACTGAGTCTAACTGGTTCCCGACATTCTCATTCCTCTACAATCCAGGCTCAGTCTTCCTTTCTAAAGGTCTCTAGCTCCTACAGTCTGGATTTCAACTCCGACCTTGTAAGGAGGCTCCCTCCAGGGCCCTCGACTCCCCCCACCCCACCCCATGGCCTGGTTCCCTGGGGAGGGTAGTCAGGTGCACATACAGGCTGTGTCGCTCACACCAGGCTTGGAGCTGGAGACACGGGGTTGGGGAGAGCAGTCAAAGGACATCTGTAATCGATCCAGGGAGAGCCTTTGGTCAGGAGTGGGAGTTTCTGAGAAGGGAACAGCAGGCGGGCATAAACAGTATATATGGCTGATGGACAGCGGGCCAGAGGAGCAGACGTTGGAGTCCAGAGCCACTGTTCTAGAATAGCCTGGACTGCTGAGGTAGACCCTCCCTGACACTTGGAGGAGCCTAGGTGAGCCACACAGCCAGGGCTTCTGAACATGGCATTCCCTATAGCAAGCTCTGCCATCTACTCCCACCTTGGAGCGCCCCATACCTGCTGGATTTTAAATAAAATATATTTTCTGCAAAAAATTCAGGGGTCTTCCTAATGCATTCATCTTTGCACAGCAACCTAATTTAGCAAAGCTCACATTCACAAGGAAGTGTTCCCCCTAAGTTGCAGGGTCCCTTTGTGATTTCCACAGTCACCCGCTTTATCCCTGCAAGCCGGAGAGAAACCCTCCCAGGGTATGAGGCTCCCCCTGAGGCTCACAGTCAAGAATCAAGCTCAACACCTTGCTTTAACAAAAAAAAAAAAAAAAAAAAAAAAAGAGATCATTGGGGCTGGGGTTGTGGCTTAGTGGTAGAGCACTTGCCTAGCATGTGTGAGGCCCTGGGTTCAAACCCCAGTACTGAAAAATAAGAACTAAAAAAAAATATTCAATATAAAATCCAAACCAGTAACATTTTAATAATATTACATAAGACATAGTGCGTTTGTGATACAAAACAGAAAGAATTCCATTGGAAAATCAGAGCAAAGTTATTCTAAAGGATGGTTGGGAAGTTGGGGGTGGGTGGGCAGGGGAGAGCTGAGCCATTATTTCTCACACTCAGGGACTGAGGGCTTAGTCCAGGTCTTGCACGGTGCAGTCCATGCCTGGTTTGTCCTTGGGCAGCACAGATCTCCTTGTTGTATGGCTCTGAAGCTGTGGATGGAGGGGGTAACACCGTGAGATGGAGGGCACGGCCCTGCAGCTGACTCCTAGGAGCCAACAGCACCTGGCCCAGCTGCAGCAGGTAAAGAGCCACCCTGAGACAGGAGCAAGGGGCTCTGTGGACAGAAGGGGTCTCTGGAGGCAGCTGCTACTCTTGCTGGTCTGGTGGAACTTTCTTGGTGCTTCTAAGGCAACTTTGAGGGTGCGGGCTAGTGCCCAAACAGGGGTGGGGCCCTTATAGGAAGTTACTGGCCCTCTCTGGGCATGTGTGCACAGTCATGAAGAGGCTCAGATGTTATCCTCTGAGTGTTGGATCCCCATCAGCCTGGCATCTGCCTGAACTTTGGGTGGGGCACAAGGGGGCAGAGAGAACAAGATGAGCAGGTCATTTCTACCCACACGACTGCCTCCCAGGGAAAGTTCTCACTGATGAGCTGATGGCTTTGTAGCCGTCCAGGGGCTCTTCCTGCTGGTAACAGCTTGTGTTCCGGGTATGGATCCTATCTAGAAGCGAAACCACCAATAACAAGATTTTGGGGGTGTGCAAGGTTTCTCTGGGCTTGGATGAGTCAGGAACGGTCCATGGGGAAGGCAAAGCATAGAGAGGCAGAAGCAGATCTGGCCCCTGCCAAGTTCAGAGCTCCTGCCCTGGTTCCCAGGGTGGGAAGGGCCTATCAAATGCAGCTCGAGGATTCAAACTGGTTCTCTTGGCTGCAAGGTTGGAAGGTGTTACAGCCATCTGAGGGATGCCAGGGGCACAGCCAGTGGGCAGGTCCTGGCTCCAGATCTGCAGTGTTTGGAATGACTGGGGAGGAAAGCAGAAGCCATGGGTTTGGAGTGGGCAGCTGAGGTATGACTCTTTCTTTGGGGAGGTCTGGAGGTGGATGGGTCCCTCCGGTATCCAGCCTGGGCTTCAGCTTTCTGACTTTAAAATGAGATGTTAAAGTGAAGCTCTGGGGAGCCGTGCCACTCTGGGGGGCTTTGAATTGGAGCACTTTGGCTCAGGGCTTTCTAGAACGAGAGAGCAATGGAATGAAAGAGAGGGAAGGCGGGAGAGAGCACGGCCTTACGTGGCGGAGCAAGCGCCTGGGGGCTGACAGTGGTTGCCCTGAGCAACAGGTCCAGAGGGCTTTGTGGTGGCCTTCATGGTGCCTGGGGACTGCAGCCGGGTTGCTCTTGGCCCCTGCTCTGGCTGCTCTGCCTGCCTTTCATAGGGAGCAGAGGGGTGGGAGAGCTCAGAGACCTTGCCTGGGCTAGGTCACGGTGACCGCATGAGGAAAGGGCCGGAGCTGGGTGTCCATGACCCAGGAAATGCAAGAGGGAAGCTGGCATTGTGGGCAGGCCAGGCAGCAGGGGCTCTGGAGGCTCCTAGCCCTACAGGTGCAGGGGGCAAAGTGGAAGGAGAGCACAGATATACTGCCGAGGCTGGCTGCAGGAGCCACCCAACGACTCTTCTGGGCTTGCTTTCCTCCAACACGATAAAGAAAGCAACGAGAAGGAGCTCCTCCAGGAAAGAGTGCCGTGCCCAGGTTCTGTATTCATTCCTAAGGAGGTGGGGCCCATTACTAGCACACCCATTTCATAGAAGAAGAAACCGAGTTGCAGAGAGATTAAATGACTTGTCCGAAACCTCAAGGGAAGTGAGTGGTGATGCTGGGTGAGAAATCTAGTGGGTTTAATCACCAGGTCGGCTGCAAACTTTCATTTAGCTGCTCAGCTGGGTTTAGTGTGGCAGTGCCACAGGTGAGACAGAGGAGTTGAGTTCTGATGGCAGGGGCTGCCTAGGTCACAGGCTGGTTCCCTTTTTTTCCCGCTCAAGTCCAGAGGGACATGGTTGGAAAACCTCTGATTTGTCCAGGCCTCTTGTTTCAGGAACTCTGGGGCTAGGGCCACTGATGGAGGGAGGGGCGAGGTGAGCTCTTTGCTCCTCTTCCTGTCAATCTTCTGGGTGGAAGGGAAAGGCAGGGACAAGGCCGGAGCATGCCGGTGCCTGCTCATGCCTTGCTCCAATACTTTGCCCGAGTATTCTGCCCTGTGCTTTCACTATCATAAAACAAGTCTTTCCACTCTAGTAAAGCAAGGCCCGTGAAAGTGAAGGGAAGAAATAGAGCTGAGCTTGGAGAAATTAAAAAAAAAAAAAAAAGCAATATATACCAGAAGGCCCAGATGAGGCCCAAAGTGGATTCTTTGGCCAACTTCTAATGAAGCTCGAGGCCTTCTGAGACAGACGGTGAAAAAAAAAGAAAGAAAAAACCAACACAAAGAGTCAAGAGCAGAAATACATAAAATAGAATAAGGGCATCATCGCAGGCCCTGCAATACCAGAAAGAAGATATAAGGAACCTTACCCCCATAAATTTAATTTAGAGCAAATGGATGAATTTCCAGAAAAATATACCACATTGCAAGAAGAAATGGGAAAAAGAAAGAAGAGTTCTTAAAACTATTAAAGAAATTGAATCAGTCATTGAAAAGCTTCCCACAAAACCTCCTCGGGTTCAGAGGACTTGAACAGCTAATTCCCTCAACCATGTAAGAAACTGATTATTCCAGTCTTGCGCAAGCTATTCCAGAGAATATTCCAGAGCATGCACCACTCGACTTGCTGTTTTCTGAGT